AATCCTCCAATTACTATCGCAAGCCTATCCTCTAACCAGCCTTTGCCTCAAGGATTATTCCCTGAAGTCACAACAGGAACACGGGTAGCTAGCTTACAAACGACGCTTATTCAACATCCAACTGTGCTCAGGCTTGAACCCCCGACTAAAGGCTGTCACGACAGCTACTGATTTCAAGTGCAGGCTTAAGGCACACGTTTGTATACGTGTCAAGGCCGAGGGTGCTGAGCTCCAAGCTGCGTTCTGATTGGTCACGCCTTCAACGGCCAACGGCCCATTTGCCCACGCACATCAGAATGACGCCACCGCTTGTAAATGGAGCAGCACAGTATGTACTTCCACTGAGTCACGTGTTCTCTCCACCGTTGTAACAGCCCTTGAGGCTTACTGGTGAGTACATCCGAATCCGAATACAACAATAAGTTCAGCAAACGAAGCCTATTATTTCGTCTTTCAGAATAATTGCAGTACGATTGTGTTGAGATCGGTTCTCCACAAATGCCCTCATTCTGCATGTTATAAGTTTGGGAATTGTGTAGTTGAGTGTATTGTACTTTACCCAATTCTTTTTTCATTCTTCCGTAGCATTTTTTGTTCATATTGTTGAACTTGTCGTCCTACACAATCCAGTTGACTGCAACCGTTATTCAATCTAAACTCTTCAACAGGGAATCAGGTGTAAAGTTATGAATAAATATAAGATAGAATTGTGTGCTGAAGCAACCCAACGAGAAATACCGCTATTGTGCCGGACTGATAACAACCTTCTCGACCAATTGTGTGACTCTCGGTTTGAGTACAACTCACCCTGAACCCCGTAATTTTATGGCATCAATACTGATATTATTTGGGATCGTTAGATATAAGGTAATATCGACCAGACGCTGAACAGATGTGGCACATCGACAGAGGGGGTGGTCGGAAGCCTTACTGGATTAGTATACATCTGAAGATGAATCAACAAACTGCGTTAGAGAAAATTGATAGATTTGGGGAAGCATGTACTATGTCCGACAAAATAGACGGTGGATCTCCGGTGGTACTTCACAGAAACAGATAAATAATGTGCCTTTTGCAATTCACCAGACGTACTTCAGCAGGAGATGTTGCTTTCGGGTTTCTGCTATGCACAAACTAAACCGTTTCAGCGTAAACGGTAGGTAGGCATATTCACAGTACCGGCCTGCATAAACGTGCATGTCTCGTCCCAAGTGAACGTAGAAAATATCTCAGATTCACGGCCGAATACAGGAATTGAATTGATCAACTGTTATTTTGGACCGCTGAAAGTAAATTTCTGTTGTTTTACCTCTCGATACTTTAGTCAGTTTGATGACAATTTGGTACCGCATTCCATCCAAATGAAATGTAATCAACCTACAAGTAAGGCGATAGAACACTTGTGTTTGGGACCTGCTTTTGTAGGAATAGCTTGGGACCCACATATTTAATTAAAGAGACGATTATCAAAGAAACGCAATTGGGAACAGCTTGTAAGATTTTGTTTCCTCATTAACAAGAATAGCTCTGGATTTGCAAAAGGATCGTGTGGTCTGTCAATACGACAACGGTCCAAAAGCACACGTCTACAGAGGTTAGTCACTTTCTCCGTGTGAAACTCTTCCAACTACTACTACTGATGCTACAAAACCCATGTACAAATCCTACAGAGCAAATTCGGTCTGATGTGAAGGGGAGATTTCGGAAGCATGTTTCAAAACATGCTTACCGTGAACAACTGTAACGAGACTGACAGTCAGTTTTTGCGAAAACCTTACAACAACGGGCAAAAAAGAGTGGAAATTACTTAAGCGAAAGACTGACCCATTTCAAAACCAGAGTCAAAATGATAAAACTGTGAGCGTACAATTCCCACAGATTTAAAAAAGAACTGATGTTCTCATCATTTTATCAAAAATACTCATTACTTTTCAACAGGCTAACTTTCTCTATTATCAGATTACC